TGTCGATTTCCAAAGCTACGACGCCCAATTTAAAGTCCTTTTAGTCATCTGGTCTCAGTGACGGCCATGTGCACACGAGACCAATGCGAGAACACTTTTGGCTGGCAGCGCAATCCGCCCCTGGGGCATGACCTTTTTCGTTAAAATCGCGACTTTACGGCGATCTATTACCTGTGGCCGGCCTGCCCGTAGCGTAATGTTAAGAATACAGCGTCCCGAAAAAATACTTATAATAGTGCGCGAAGAGTGCGTCGATGGGCATTCGATACCGCTGGTATAAAGCCACCAGCTGACAGTGCATCTCGATTGCTCGGCTAAGGAATCCATTTCACTCAATCGCCCCCCCCCCCCCCCGACCGTTTCTCACGCAATGCTATTGTGCCGCCCGTAGCGGCTATTGGCAAACCTATGCGTCCAATTTGAAGTATTTTGGTGGTGCACAGCGGGTACCACCATGCGCACACCTTATCACTGTGGACTTGTCACTGGAGCAACCAACATTCCCACCTTCAGCTGGGCATGTTAACTACTCTTCGGACATGACCTTTTTGTTCAAATTACCCCTAGACGGCACATTCCTAACTTGGTCGGCCTACCCGTACAGGTCGGTCGCCGCGGCCGGCGAAAATCACTTGCGACCGTGCGCGAAGCGTGCGAATGTGCCAAGTCGAAAGCACTGCTGGAGGGCCATGGGTTCCCATGACAACACACTTGTCGGATTGAGATATTCGTGTTATTAAGCCAACAACCGAAGGCGTGCCATTCAGTGTGACGGGATGGCCACAGCAGTGATTTCGAAAGGCTATCATAGCACGGGGAGGCTCGTCTCGCCGTCTCGTCGTCGTAGCTCGTCTAATCTAAGTTACTCTTAGTCTCGCGGAGCGGATGAGACCATGTGCACACGATGTCACTGTGGTAGCAATGTTGGCCGGCATTATAAGACGCACATCGGCCGACATGACCTTTTTCGTCGAAATCGCCCATTTACGGTGCGTTGCTAGCTGCAGCCGGCCCACCCGCATCGTGATGGCCAACATACAGAGGCCGGGAAAATACTTATAACCGCACGCGATGAGTGCAACTGTTGCATTCGACAGCGCTGGCTTCAGGCTATTAGTTACCGGTACAACGCACTCGTCTTATGAGAGAAGCCGTTTTATTCACTGGGGCCTGGAGCAGTATTCGGTCGACCTCGGGACACATCTAACTGATCCCTGACTGCACGGCCGCCACAGAGATTTGGAAAGTTATGTTGCCCAATCTAAAGCAATATTAGTGGTACGCGGCGGGCACAACCATGTGCACACGATAACGTTGTGGAAGCAATATCGGTTGGCAATGTAAATCGCTCATCGGCTGGCACGATCTTTTTTGTTCAATCACCTCCTTACTGATCATTGCGAATTGCAGCCGGCCTCCCCGTGCCATGATAGTCCAAATACGGTAACCCGGAAAAGCTATTATCAGGCCACGAAGAGTGTGACTGTGTAAATTTGATATTGCGCGCACCTTAGTGTCATCCGCATAATTCTTTTACACGACTAGGGATTGTAAGAATGTGTATGGATCCTTTCATGACTGGAATAGCTATACCTTGTTGTGCACACAGCAGAGGCGCAGGATAGCCGTTCAGATGATCGCACTACTTCCCCTTCGCACGTGAGATCCCAGTCCGGCGACCGTGCGTACATGAGCCGGGGCGTCCCCGTCGGCCGCGCCGCGAGCGTCGCGCGACACACCATTTCAGAGGCAGTCTTGACAAGTCGTGGTCTGTTTCTCCGCGGTTCTCATAGTGCCTTGGACATGTCCGTCATTAATTTTCACGGCAGTTGTTAGTAAACAGTATTTGTCGAAGGAGGTTTTAGGTGGCACGTCTTGTTGATTGTGCACATTTGCATTACATGCACCCTGCAGGCATGGTTGGGTTTATGGTCACTTTGAGTGATTGTTCACCCATCTCATTTATCAGATAATGGCTAAAGTTTCCGACTGTAGTGTGTGGTGTCTGCACTGTCGGACCAACAAGGGAATTGTGAGCTGGAGAGAAACCTATGTCGCGATGACAATGTATCTTCAGTCTCCTCCACGCTGGAGTCATCTGAGAAGGTGAGCGTCCAGGGGCTTATTTACATCATTATCTACTTTCAGCACTTGGTCGTTGACAGTGGTGGATCTTTTGCTAATGACGCAACATCGCGACGCTTATTGAGGAAGGGATTCCGCGCCAACATTGACAGCACCAAACATTTTGTCAGCGATTCACCTGCAGCGCTGTGAGCAGCATTCATGAGTGCAGTAACTTTATGGGTGCAGAAATGAATGTCTCTGAAGATAAAATTGTCAACTTACCATGCAACAGCAAAGCAGCGAAATTTATATTGCTTCGATTACCAGTAGCCTTTTTGTTATTTCTCGGCCGCCGACTATTTCAAAATCACTTTTTCCAATCAACCTATGTGCAGTCAACGACCTTGTCATACTTGAACAAAAAAGGCCATGAAAAATGCCCCGATCGGCCAGCGCCATATAATGCCTCACGCCTAGTCGATCCCTCGCTCTCGGCCGTGGTTGGCATCGAGCGCGGCGTCGGCTGGCGGAGACGGACCGCGCGTGGGCCAGGTCAGGCGTCCGCGGACGAGAACGCAGGCGCGGCGCCGCGCAGCTCGTGACGGAGGTGGCGCAGCACCGGTAGCGCTTCAGGAGACCTACGTCCAGGAAACCTATGCTCCCCGGGCCTACGCCCAGGGGGCCTACGTCCACTGGACCTAGGCTCGCGTGGCTTACACCCAGGAGACCTATGCCCACTGGATCTACGCCCAGGAGACCTACGCTCACGAGACCTATGCTCACGAGACCTATGCCCACGAGGCCTACGCCCAAGAGGCATACGTCTACTGGACCTACGCTCACGAGAAATACAGCCAGGAGGCCTACGCTCACTATACCCACGCCTAGGAGACCTACGCCCAGGAAACCTATGCTCACGAGAACTAGGCCCAGGAGACCTACACTCACTGGGCCTATGCGCTTGAGGCCTACGATGACAGCATTCCCAAATTATCGAGTCACTGTTGGCTGGTCGGCTGCCACCCGTCGTGGGGAGGTAAACGAATACTGACTATTAAAGGCGCGATATAGCGATGCCTGCTGCTCCATGGCTCTGCGTCGCATCCCACCACAGGTACGAAAAAAGTGTGTGTATAGAGTATAGAGTGCGAGTATGGCTCACTATGCTGAGAACGCGATGGAAGACTAAATATATATTCGGCGCATGGCGCCTAAACCAAGTAGCCGCTAAAGGGTCTGTGGACTGGCGATGCGGCTTTGTCGCAGACCAGACCAGGCCAGAGGCCTCAGCGGGGTGTCTGCTGAACTGCCATTGGTGACGGATGATCTGAACAGTTCTTGGCGTATCTCTGCCAATTTGCCCGAAGACTGCGGAAACCTGCCCCTTCCGGGAACGGTCCTTTCATTCTGAGCGTGTGGGGAGGAGGCAAGGGGAGGGAGCGAGCAGCCGGGGTGGTAATACCCGGCTGCTTGGTCTTGCCTGAGACGTTAGCAGTTTAAGTCAGTGGCGGATCCAGGATTGCTTCTAATGGGTGACCACACAACACTGTGGGCCTCTGAGGAGTTTTGTGGCCTCCCCAAGACAAAAATATCCGATTGCGGCAATTAAATTCTCAGATTGTTCTTTCCTATATTGTATGGGAAAACTGAGTGCGCCTTTGCGCAGCCCTCGCCAACGAAGGGTGGTGCGTATGTGCACGCATAGAGCGTATTAAAATTCTTTCGATCATGGTGGACCCTGAAAGTGAAATTATTTTGGAGAAGACATGACAACATGCCCGTAGCCAAGGCCAGCATGGGAGGCCACACAGTTGAAAAAGGATCCTATGACGGCGAAAAGCCCCTCCCAACACTGCAGGATATTGTTCAGTTATCAATGAAGGGCACCGCTTTCTTTGTTATATGGTTTTCACCGCCTAGAACTGGAACAGAAGTCAAAAGTCACCGCGAGATCATTCAATCACGAGAGGAGACGCGAGATACACGAGATCACACGAGATGAAACCATTCGGGCCCCTCTTCGAGCTTCCTCTAACAAAGCCAGTGACGAAATCAGGGCCACTTGCCGATGCATGGCCCCCTATTAGACACTGTGGGTCCCTGAACGACACGGGGCCCCGATCATTGCTTCAAGGACCTTGCCCTTGAAACAAAGAGGAATGCAAATCGTGGGCCCCATTCTGCCCCTGCTTGGGAAAAGGGACCCTGGGGTTCCGACCAACACAGAGCCGAGTGTTCGGTGTTGGTGGTCCCTGGCCGACATAGAAGCCCGCACAGTCTCAGCGGTTCTCGGTCGGTGCAAAAGACCCTCTGACTGATATTTCACGTCACGGCCCTATGGACTGGGACCCTTTATGAGACCTATATCCAGCTTTTTGAGTCCTTACACCCTTTAATCTGGCTTTTGATCGTCAGTTTTGGTGGGCCCCGGGCCTCTCTTCGGGCCTTATTGAACACTGCCCTTGATCGCCCCTTGCCAACACCGGGCCACCCGTTTGGCCCTGTGAATCCCTGACAGATACAGAAGCCTCGACCAGTGTAAATCGCTGGCGCCCGTTTTGTCGGTGCTCAGGTGGGCCTTCAGGCTCATACCGACGCGAACCAGACTGTGCAGTACAGGTGATGTCGGACCGACATATACACCCTCATTGAATTAAGAGTCCCCGATCGGCGCAAGGGGCTCTGTGGCTGGCATTGGAATGTCCGGCCATGCCAGCCGGGACTCCTGAATAGGACCATCACCCGGCCTTTCGGGCCCTTCGAGCTCTTAAATCGGGCCTCTAATCGTCGGGCCCGATTTGGGGGGGGGGGGGGGGCGGCGTGCCCCTATACCCACTGTCCGCGCCATTGTATGACAACGTGAGTTAAATTTGGCAGCTTAATGTCAAAGTGGAGCTCGATAATTCATCCTGAGGGTGGTTCCGGCTAGACGACTAGCTGATGGCTAAACTGATGGCTAATGACGAACGCAGGGTTTTGGTTTGGACTTTGATGAGTGAGTGTAAATGATGGGATAGTGCAAACTACCATCCTCCAAATGTGCTGAGAATGTGATGCTCAAAAATGGCGATTGCCACAAATTTATTGACCATGGGAAGTGAAATCTGGGACGTCTAAAGCGCGTAAAATTATCTTGGGCAGTAGTGCGTAGAAATTCATCGCGACATATGCAGCTGGTGCTATCTACGACGAGGTGCTATCAGCTTTTGTTTACCCTCTCCACGGTAGGTGGTGACGGGCCCGCCAACAGTGACTCGATAATGTGGCATCATGTCGTTCGTACGCCCTCCTGGGCGTAGGTCCAGTAAGCGTAGGTTTCGGTTGAGTGCTAGGTCCAGCGAGCATAGGCCTCGTGAATGTAGTCCAAAAGCGTAGGGTCCTTCTAAGCAAAGGTCCGGCACGCGTAGGTTTTGTGAACGTAGTTCCAGCGAGCGTAGGCCTCGTGAGCTTAGGTCCAACAAGCGTAGGTCTTTTGAGCGTTGGTCCAGCCAAGCGTATGGCCTCGTGAGCGCGTTGGTCCAGCAGGTTGTTACGTCTTTTGAGCGTAGTTCCAGCGAGCGTAGGCCTCGTGAGCGTGGGTCGGTAAGCATAGGTCTGCTGGGGGTAGGTTCTTCTGGGTTGTCCCCGCAGCACCGTTTGAGTGCCGCTCATCCAGCGGAGGGGCCGACGGAGGGCGGGCGCTGTGTGGTCCTGACTCCCTGTCTGAGGCGGCTCCAGCACGGTCATGCTGCTGCTACATGCTTCGCTGCCGGACGCCTGGACGTGCGGTCCGGACGACGTACTCAAGGAGGGCTATCCAACTGCCAAATGGATTCTGGTATGTGGTTATGCGAGCTTTTTTTTATAAATTTGATCCGAACCCTTTTGAATGGATGGATTTCTGGGATCAGCGCTCACGCTAAGCAGTGCTTGTTGCTGTGAGCTCTGACCCCCACCATCCGATCGGCGCAATCACAGGCAACGGCAGAATTTAGTGGCGAAAGCTAACGTGCCGCAAGGTCCGTCACGGTCCGTCCTGCCCTCTGACGTCAATGACTCTTTAGCGCGACCGCTGCCACCGGCCGCAGGCCATACCGTCAAGGGCAAATAGCGAGCGCCCTAAAGCGACTCGAACCCACCCAGCCACGGGTGGGGTCGGATCGGAAGGCAGGCGCCCTAACCAACTGCAGCCACCGGAGCTTCGTGCGCGATTCAGTGCAGATCTGCTTTAGGGTTAAGAAGGTGCGCACCTAGTCAAAAGCGCTATCAAAGCTACGTGAGGACTGTGTTCATTCCGCGTGGCAAGCTCTGCACGTCACTGACTTTCTGATTGCAAACGCCATCGGCATCATACCAATCTCACACTTGCGCTATTAAGGGCAGGGCGACGCCTTAGTAAAGCAGCACATAGTGACGAGCGTCATCACTGCTGGTCACCATGACACCATCACCGACGATCTGAAGCAGCACATAGTGACGAGCGTCATCACTGCTGGTCACCATGACACATCACCGACCGATCTGAAGCAGCCACATAGTGACGAGGCGTCATCACTGCTGGTCACCATGACACCATCACACGACCGATCTGAAGCAGCTCATAGTGACGAGCGTCATCACTACTGGTCACCATGACACCATCAACGACCGATCTGAAGCAGCACATAGTGACGCGCGTCATCACTGCTGGTCACCATGTCGCCGCCACCGACCGATCGCACCACTGATTGACACAAATACACAAAACAAGCACACCCAATCTGAGAAGACCACCACTACTAGTCAGCGCACCGGTACACCGTCTAATGACACCGTGGCCTTATCGGAAGGTCTCCTTCACCACTTCGACGGCGGACGGGTCAGCCAGCTCCTCGCAGAGGTACTCGATGCAGTGGAAGTTAGAGCCCCACTCGCTGTGCTGCACGTTGTCCTTGTCGTAACACTTCAGCTGTATCGTCAGGCGCAGGTCGCCGGCATCCTTCAGCTGTGAAGCGCCGCGGCCAGCACGGCCAGGTCAGCACGGCGCGGCGTGGCATGCCGGCGAGATCCGGTGACGGACAGCCGGGCGGCCGTTCGAGGAGCGCCTTTCCGTCACGCCCGCAGCTCACGCATCGCGTGGAACTTGCCGAGAGTATTCCACTCGTGCATGGGGTGCGCACTCAGTCAGATTAGCTTTCGAGCATAGCATGATTACAGAAGACGGCCGGTGACGCATATGCTGATATCGTAGCATGCGCGAGCCCTTTATAACCCAAGCGGAACCAGTACCACTCGGGAAGGGAACTACTTGTTCTCGTTATCTCCATTGATGGGGTTCTCCATAGTTTGGGTCCCTAAAAGAGACTGGATGAGTGAGTATATATATATATATATATATATATATATATATATATAATATATACATGTCTATATACATGAGGCCAAACGATTCTGAAATTTAACAGCGTGGAAGAAACATGGCAATCAGATACAGAACACTGTCACCCTAATAAAACAGATTATGTTAGACAGAAGTAATAGTCATATTCCTCGGAGGGAAAAACCAGGGGAATGGGGAAATGGATGCGTTGATATTTAGGCAACATGCTTTTATCGAAACAGATGGCAAAAGTGCATCAAAATTGCCTATAATGGGCAATTTTGAATTCGCTTCAGCTATTTGTTTCGATAAAGGCATGTCGCCGAAATATCAACGCAGCTATTCTCCATTCTCCTGGTTTTTCTCCGAGGAACAAGGCTATTACTAATGTCTCATCTATGTGAATAATGCTCCTCGCTAATGCACTGAGGCCACTTGTAAAATTGTGTAACGTCACTTTAGTTGCCTTTGATTCTTACATTCGAGTAGCCCATACCTTAGACTTAAACAACATTGCTGGACCTTAATTGATTACACCAATCCGCCATAAGGTAAAGGACCAAACCAGTCAAACTGTTCAGTGCAGTATGTACGCCTAGTTCACTCAGAGCTGTCCCGGATTCCAGTTCCACTCTGCGCGCCAGAGGTCCATCAGACTTCCACCACACTAGCAGCACAAGCCTGTTTCCTGCGTTACGACCCACGGGGCTGTTTGTTCTCGAAGAGCGTACGCGTAATTAACGACTAGCTATGGACTACTCTGCACTCTTCAAAGAACGAACGTTATTAGTCACTCAAATACATAAGTCCCCTGGCATGGCCTCACAAAGAATGTTAACGGCGCTAACTACTCGAATGTCGTAATGACAAATATTGACTTCCAATCGTCATAGGGTCCGTATCGTCCCCTGAACGGCACCTCCATAAACAAAGCCGGGAAAACCACAGGAATGCATTCATGGGTTAAACAGTTTCGCAGGGAACTTCAGCGCGGTTAATGTTGGTCTGCTGAATCAAACGACAGCACTCTCCTCTCTGGGCACGCAATGCATATTAAGACATCGCCAAAAAAACAGACGTGACTTGGATTCATCGAACACCATGTTACAAAACGCGGGGGCGGGGGTGCGTTGTATAGATGGACTTATATGGGTAATGGACTTTGTTGACGGCTTTGTCAATCTCTTTCCTTCCCCCCCCCCCCCTCACCCCGCCCCCACCCCCCATCCCCAGACCTCACACATGAGCCAGTGGCGGCTTTTCGCCGGGCATCGACTAACCTAACTTCCGAAGGTTAGCAAAATGACCAAGTCTGACCCTCTCAGTGCTGCTCGGCTTAGTGAACGCCGCTTTATGAGTGAATCAGGTGTTCGTGTAAGCCCCCGGTCGCCTCCAATCATCCTCCGTCACGACGACCGTACATTCCCACGACGACAGATGGAACTAGGTGCTGCCCCACCTCCAGCCTGCGGCGCGCGGCGATTTACTGGACGTGCTTTTTAGCGTGCTAGTCATTTGATGCGTCCATGAAGTCGTGTGGCACACATGATTACTTTTTATGTGCCAAACTACATGTGCATGGGGTCATTCTGGGACTCCTCGCTTGTTGCCGCGTGCCGTAGGATGTTACGGGAAATGTGAGATATATACGTCAGCCTCTCTCTTCCCGGACATTGGGATCGGGCATCACCAAGATTTCCTTTTAGTGTAAATAGATGCGCACGAATGTCATGATGCACCAGTATGGGTACAGCACCAGGATGAACACAGTACCAGTATGGGTATGTACCAGTATGAGTACAGCGCCAGGATGAGCCCGTACCAGTATGAGTATGTACCAGTATGAGAGCAACGTAAGGATGAACATAGTACCAACATCAGTCTGTGCCAGTATGAGAGTTTGTACCACAGTACCAGCTGTACCAGGATGACTGAAGGTGGTCCGCTGTTTGTGCGGACGTCCGCATTACCGATGTCCGGTGGCGTTGGGATAAGTAGAATAGCACGAGAAGGGTCAAACTAGGTCAAGTTCGTGCCAATGTGCTGATCTTTGCAGGTCAAACCAAGCAAAGCCCGGCAACAGCCGAAACTGGTTCATGCGTGGGGTCCAAGGGGGGCTTGAATTTTGAACATTTTGAACAAAGGTGATCGACCGTGAACATCCACCAATACCGGGTCGCATGATTATCCCCGTGTGTTTTCAACAAATGTTTTTCGGCAGCATTACAACTCCTTATCCCTTGGGTAGAGAATGGCACCATAGGACACCGCAGACCTGGACCTGGCTGCATGGTAGTTTTCAGCGAAACCGTTTGCAAATGAATACGAATCCGAATGTCAATATATAACTATGCTGTGCCTGCAAACGTTGAAAACTTAGCCCTGTGCTCAAAATGGTTTACAACCTGATCAAACCATATCTTCGAGAGCACCAAGTCCGCTGTCCGGCGAGCTTAAGCATGAAGCGCAGCTGACGCACCCTGATACCGCATAGCGGAAGCCGACCGGCTTCGCTCCAATGCGCGTTGGCCGCTGCCAGTGGCTCTTCAAGGCCCGCCGATAGGCGCGCCCCGAACCGCTGCAGCAGGCAGCGTCAGACGGAGCCGCCCCGGCCGGCGCACGGCGCGCCCGAACCGCCGCTATCGCTCGAGCGACGGTGCCCAGAAAGGTTACATGGGTCTTTATCGGCAGAATCTCGCGCGTTAGTCCGGAGCGATCCCTACCGTGATGAGGACGCACACCTCCCTGCGCTGGCCCTTCTTAGTGGGATCGAAGTCCTGGGTGTGGAAGAAGCTGGAGTAAGCCGAGGCAGTGCTGTCCCGTGTCACTTCGCGCACCTCCAACAGGCCACCGTTGAAGTTCACCGATCTGGAGCAGCGTCCGTCCAGTCACTTCTCTCATTCACTCCCAACGGATTGCCGGCACGCAAACCAACGTCCGTGTCCCAAGTCACCGCAGCATGGTCTTTGCTACGAAATCGAACGCAGTGGTATACAGATTCATAACCAGACGTTCATAGATCGCGTGAAGACTACGCGCACTGACATAACACTGGTTAAGAATATTGCAAGCCTCCAAAACTTGTGTAGATTTGAAGAGGTATAAGCGAATGGCACGTGTAAGGAGAGCCGTTGGCAAACGTTTCAGGACATCGTAGATATTTGTAGTTACTCTGCTCTGAAATGACACACCATTTTTAATGACACGATATCAACACGTCCGTGTGTTGCATACCATACAGTCTCAACCATTCGCTACAACGCTGACAAATGCAGTGCCCACACGATCAAGAGTTACTCTAATATTGCTTTAGTACAAAAAATGTATTTATTGCGACCTGCAACCAGCGGGGTGTCCTCTTCAGAACTTGCAAGTTTGCAGGCAATGCCGGAGGGAAGGGCTTTCCACAAATGGCGTCCGAAATCTGTTTTCCTTTAATTTTGTAGTACGATTAGAGTGTAGTCAGGTAGACGAATGAAGTGGCGAAAAGCCTAGAGCCTGACAGACGCGCTTGTATTTCACGTCCGACTCAAGAACCTTTTACGAGAAACGAGGCGCCGTATTTGGTGCGCCGTGCGCGGCTCCGGCCGTGACGGCAGTCGTGTTCGGGAAGTGCAGAGGACAACACGCATCTGACACCAGACGGCATGCCAGCTCAGTTCACGGCATGCAAGGATCTAGCGTTGAGCCTGCTGGGGGTTCGGCAAGGGAACAATCAAACCGCCAGAACAGCGACCCTGCCAGTGGTGCGACTTCCCACGCACGCGTACTGGAAGAGTACTCACGTCGACACCAGAATGGTTCTGCATGCATTCGGTGCAGCCTAAAAAGATCATCGCTTCTTTTTTAGACAACGCCCTGGATTGAGCAAACATGAAGTGGCACCCGCCAAACGCCAGCGTGGAGGGGCAGGCTGCAGTGGGGCTCCAGATAAATGATAATGAACATCAGTCACTATCAGGGATGTGCACAGGATTTGAAAACAGACAGGGCGCAACTAAAAAATGTGAACGATATAAACAATATTAAACGATGCCCAATCCCAAAACGGTGATGTACGGTCGGCATTAATGGTTGCTTTGTGTTGGAGTATTGAAGCAGTTGAATAGAAAGGCAACGCAAGTGAAAAATAAAGGCCGTATCGAGAGCATGCGTTGGCTGCAGTAAAGGCAAACAAACTAGAACCACTATCGTGACGGATTCAGGCCCTCTCCGTCACCAGAAGTGCTGGTCATTTCAGCCGTTTGGACCGTTACCCTCTTGGAATATTGCGCTGTACCCGGGCACGCAGTGAAAGATTTACGTGTGTCGTGAAAAAGAACCACCTAACCTTCGGTATGCTACAGCTCGAGACAATCTGTACTGTTATCAAAGATGCACGAATTCTGTTAATCACATTCCCTCCGTGCGAACATGGAGTGGTGGCGAGTGAGCAGACACAAAAACTGGCGTTCAAAGGCGGAAGCATGCCGTCCAGACACGACTGCCGTCAGCGACGCCCCTAGCTGGGGTAACCCAACATTCGGTGCAGATGGTATAGGCACCACAGCCAGCCAATGTCTTATTTTCAGGGGCTTGGAAATAAGGGGCCTGGGGGCCATGGCACACAACTTTTCCAGAATGTTGAACATTAATCCTCTGTTGCTGCAGGGAAGGAATTGAATTAAAAATCATCAGGTATTGCCAGTTTTCCTAAACGTTGCTACGGTTATGCGACGTTTGTTCAGTGCGAAGCATTGAAAAACTGTCAGCCATTACAGGTTCTGGCAGGGATTGGCTCCAATACCTTGGAATCATCTTCTGTGCATTACACGCACCAGGGTAGCTGGCTCACGACAAATTTGTAAATATTGTTTTAAAGCATCCAAATTATGTAGAGCTCTACGGTTGGTGTAGAACGCCTGTAACAGCGCATAGAATGGAGGGGCACCGGTCGTCCGTCATTTGCCGGTAACCTTACCGATCCACCGGTTTGATATTCCTTACGAGTTCGGTGCGTGTACGGATTACGGGTTACGGGTTACGGGTTGATGAGTTCACGGGTTCGGCATTCATTACCGATTCACCGAAATATGAATAAGACAGCACTAATAACCTTATTCCTCACAGAACAGCCCGGACAATGCAGAGATAGACGCCTTTATTACCGATTCACCTGAATTCGTACGCACTCGGTATTCATTACCAATTCACCGGGATATAAAAAAGACAGTAATAATAACCTTATTCCACGAAGAATAACAAGGGGAATGGAGAGATACACTTTATTGAAAGGAATACCGGAAGTAAATCCAAAGTTGCCTGCCGGTCCTGCTCGATTTTCAGCTCTTTTTGGGAAACAGCAAACATAGTTTTTGCAGGTAACCAACATTCCGAGGACCCGACAAGGCGCAGCTGCCAGCCATTACTTTGGTAAGGTGTATATGCAACTAAGAATAAGAATACACGAAATATACGTGTTCATGCAAACAAATTCAACTAAACAAGCATCACACATCACACACCATTCACACATGCAAGCGATATTAAGTAAGCAAGCGTGGCGCAACACGCATCACTTATACATGCGAGCGATTTCAATTTAATAGGCATCACGCATCACGCCTCTGGGATCACTCATAAATGCAAACAGTTTTAAGCTAGGGCATATCAGACATCAAAGCCCTAATCACATTCGCATAATCGGACATGATGAGCCCTGTGCGTTAAGGTCTGGTCGCCGACTTCTTATCAGAATAGATTCACTTTTTTCCTGTCTGGATGGTCCTGTACTCTGCAGATGTCCTTAAGCTCTAAGTGGGTAAAGGGTTCGAGTATCTCTAGATTAAAAAAGGTTGCTGAAAGACGTATTCTCTGTTTTGTATTTAGCGTCTCGTAGGTGCTTATCATATTTCAAACGAATAGGGCGCGCGGACTACCCGACATAGGCTATGTCCGTTCCACGTTTCTTTATACAGTTTGCGCTCAATTTCGCAAACCACCTTTTTCGCGCGCACACCCTTTGAAGCCCAGACTTGCATAAGTCACCCATTGTTCTCTGAAAGCTTAGGCTTCAAGATGGTAGATTTCACCAGGTCTCTTTTAAGCTTATTGACGTTCTTCCAAGCTATGCGTACGCACATTTTGGATTTTGTAGCGATATGTTTGATTTTCCAAAGCAAGTGTTCATCTAAGTGAGGTAGTATTGAGGATCCGTTGTCGGACGGGGCGTGCTCCTGCCTCTTACCACCCATCCCCGCCGTGCTCTAGGTTGTTTTACCTCTTCAAACATTCTATGTTAAAGTCGTGAAGAATATCCACCGCCCAGCAGAAAAATGCACCTTATTATGCTCTTTCTTTCTTTTTCACTACTTGAGTTATTCAGAGCCCCGTAAAGCATATTTCGAATTATATTGTGCTTGATAAAGAGCTCCATTTTAAACGTTGTGCAGTTGTTTCTCCTTTCTATTGCAAATAGTGTATCCAAATATCGGACGCTCTTTCCGTCCCTTGCATGCTCCATCGTAAAGGCCAGTGTAAGTCTCTGGTCTCTGTTCAGGCGTCTACACTCCAGCATGATCATCGATGTATCTAGCTGAGAAAGCTGGTTGAAATGGGCTGGCGGCCAGGGCTTTCGTTTCCAATTGGCCTAAAAATAATATCGCCAGAGGAGCCCATGGGTTCCTCATTGTTATGTCCAATTTCTGTCGATAGCAGTCATCTCCTAACGATAAAACATATCCTGGAGATACTGTTCCAACAGACCGCAGATATATTTTTTGATAAACAGAAAGCATCAATATCATGGAAATGTTTGTCTACCTAGTCTACCTTGGTCTACTTCGGCCTCATTGACTGGTACACTGCCATATCAATTGACCACATCTACACTGAAGAAAATACCGCCCTCTGGCACCCTTTCCGCCTGTAAATGATTGGAAGCCGTTTTAAAAATCTCTCGTGTCCCACAGATAAGTGGAAACAAACCTCAAAAGCTCATCGAGTGCTTTGTCTAAATGACACCAGGTTTTTCTGTAAACCGTCGCACGCAGATATGAAGTGTCTAAGCTGCACTGCAGGCTTGTAATCCTCAGGTTCCCCATATAACACGTGCGTTTTCATGTATCTAGGTGCATGATTAATGTTTCAGTTACGTTTTGTGCTACATAATACACTATGTTGTACATTCTTCCTGGATATTATGGAAACAAGGCTTGCAACCGAATGCTATAAAAATAGCAGCATAACCAAACCTGTGAATACAAGTAAGTACCTTAACTCACTGATGAATATGCAAGAGCACCACGATAAAGGGCCAAAATACGATCACCTAACAATGTTTTGTTCAGTATAACACCAGCGCCGCCACTGTCATCGCTCCGGAGACTGAGGAGCTACACGTGAGTGCTGTCATATGACGTTCGATGGCGCAATCAAGCAATGACCTATTAGGGAGCAATGTACTAAAAAGAGAAATATAGAATAGAGAAGTAGACAACTAACTGGAGAAATGTTGTTGTCTGGAGTAGGTTTTTTTATCTAAAAGCATACCATCAGTTATAAGTGAGCTTAACTCATAATATACGATGCTTGCTTCAATATCTTCAAATGTGGAACATTTCCTTTAGTGTTGTGATACCAGATGTTTCGATCAGGTACTGCATTTTGCAAGTCCATGTACGGTTAGTGCCTAGTGGATACCAGAAAATGAAAGCTTAACTTGGCTTTATCGACATCCTCCATCCTCAACTTTTCTTCTCCCTTTTCCAACCCATTCTCAACCAATGACCCCGTTTCCCTCAAAAGGAGATGCCTTCGTGAAAGCGATGGAACGTTGTCAAATGAGATAGGGACTAGTTTCCGCATTCGTGTGGTATCGAGATGAGGGT